CAAGAGCATTTCCAGTGCCACACCAGTTGTTGTCAATCTGTAGTGGTCCAACCCCGTGTGCAAGAGAAGAGCAGTGCTCTGTGGGGTTTTCAATAGCGTCCGTCTTTGGGAAGTAGATCACCAGGCCTTTCTTCCTCAGTACCCCCTAGGTGGATGTGGACTATCTTCCAGTTAGTGGGCAAACTCTCTGAGCCACTCAGGGACTCCTAGGGTCATAACAATCCCCACTTTATGGCATCCTTGTGGGGATTAATATTGATAAGGATCCCTGATGATATAGCAGAGGAACTCTGGGGGCACCGTGGGGAAGCACTCAGCGGCTAACTTCAAAGTTGAGGGTGCCAGCCCAGCAGCTGCTCTGCAGGAGAAGACGTGGCAGCCGGCTGCCATGAAGCTGTGCAGCCCTGGGAGCTCTGTCAGTCAGTTCCACTCGGGCCCACATGGCCACGGTGGGTTGGAATGAGCTTGAAGGTGCATGGATGATGCTAGGGGTAAGTGCTGGGCTGCTATGTGAAAAGTCATTGGTTTAAAACCAAGCAGCCAAGGAAACCCTAGGCTTTTCAAGCTATACTCTGTCTTACAGAGTAAGACCGGAGGTCGGAATCAACAACAATAATACTAGATAAGGCGGGGGAGGGTTCCCAACAGGGGATTTTCCCACATTCTATGTGAAGCCCAAGAATGTAGCCAAGTGCCTTGTCAATGCTAGACAAACATTTACTCGATCTTTTCACCAATCCAACCTGCCACCGCCAAGTTGGTTAGGACCCAAAAGGACCCTATGGAGGGTTTCCAGGACTGTACATCGTTTGAGAGCAGACCGCCTCCTCTGTATCTCTTGCAAGGGCTGGTGAGTGAGTTTGAACCACCAACCATCACATAGCAGATAACTCTGTTTCCTGCTGCAAAGTGACGGGTTGTCTTGCGGCTCTTCTTCCACTTCCGTCCTCCCTCAAAACCGTGGTGTCGTCACCCAGCTTGCTTGTTCCCTTCGATCCTATCGTTAGTGCCTCTCCTTGCCAACATCCTCCCGCTGCTTCTGAGTCTCTCTGTCTCCTTCCCTGGTGGCCTGGGGTCCTCAGCCTTCACTTGTGTCCCAGGCGCAGTTTGAAATTCCAGGCTTTTGCACGACACTATCGTCTTTCTTCCGATGACTCGAATCATATCCAGGATTATCACCCAATTGACACATTTTGGTCCTTCAGCCTTGTATTGCTATCTAAGGAATGTTCTGCTCTAAGGGGGTTCCCTTGACCCTCACATCCTAGTGCCCTGGGGGTCAGCTGGCCAGCACGCCTCCCCTCCACTCCCCTCCCACCACTGTCCTATACAAACCACACTAGGTTGTACACGGGGTTGCAAGACCGGTTCGTTCCGATCTCCCATTGGACAAAGACACCATCGTGAGTGTGTGCGTACACTCAGTTGTGGAACAAAGCCATGTTCTCCATGTTGACGACGACTTGGCCGCAGGCCGACAAAGGGTTGGCGTCAGTGTGTCCAGACACCCTAGCGAAGAACCTGGTCTTCGAGCTGGCTCCTGAGGGACCTGCTATCTTCAGCATCTTCCATCTGCAACTCAAAACAGCCACTCTGGGATGAGTCCCTTCATCTGCTGCTCTGTGTGTGTGTGTGTGTGTGTGTGTGTGTCTTCGAGTCGATTCCGACAGAACCGTATAGGGCAGAGTCGGCTAGAAGCTTTACAATAGCAGATGGCCAGCTCTTTTTGTCCTATAGAGTCACCGGTAGATTCCGGTCGCCAATCAAAGATTGGCAAGCCAAGAGCATTAACCGCTGGGTCACCAGGGCGCCAATGTCCCGTACTCGAAGACGACGTAAATGAGCTGGAGGAAGGAGAGGAGGAATGCCATGGGGAGGAAGGATCATTTGAAGGGCAGCTCTGTACCTTTCGAGGCCAGAGATGGCACCCTACAAAGGCTCATCTGTGTCCTCTAAAGAGGGCCGATGGTCGAAAGAAACAGAAGCGTTGGTTTACACACCACACAGCTGGTAAAAACAGAGGAGCAAGGCTTGCTGGCTGTCTCAGCGACCTGCTCCCCCACCTCCAGTGAGCTGTTTCCATGCCACCCAGCTCTGGGGGGCCTTGAGACCATCCACCAGAGACAAAGTCCACCCAGAAGGCGGTCCCTCCTCACAGCAGCCATTGTGAGAAGCGTTCACCTGGCTTCAGGGGTGACGGAGTCCCAGAGACCTACAGACGTTTGCTGGAACCAGTCTCCGGGCTACCAGAAATGGAATGGTGTTGAAGAAGGGAAGGGAGGGGTTGGAGAACAGGAGAGGACCCTATAGAGAATTAATTCACCAAAGGACTGAGTTGTTGGGATGTGATTTTATGCTTACTTGTGGGAGCGGGAGGAAAGAAAGTTAAACTTTTTTGTGGAGAAAACAATCAAAGAATAAGACACCTCTCCTCAAAGTGGCCTTGAATAAGGATACTCCATTCTCCAACGAGGCGCCTACTCCATGTCCTTGGGTTTACCTACAGATGATCAAGAACCATTTTCCACATTTCAGAATTGATGCCAGGAGCCTCCACATCCAACCAATGTCGTGAATGCCTGTTCCCATCTGCACCATATTTGATATGGCCGTGCCCTGCGGGCCACTCGGTACACATTTTGGCGTGCAGACGGCTCCCGTGCAAACCTCCTCACTGCTGGAAACTCTGCCCAGAGGCTGGAGAGCTTGCATCCGGGAGCTGAAGCTAGCCAGTGGCTCAGCAGGGTAGCTCTGGGCCCCCTTTGAAGAGCCATCCCTGATCCCTGATCCCTCAGCACTGATCGCCAGCCAGACCATGCCAATCACGAACTGATTCAAATATTGGAGAAGAAAGTCCGGTAGGTTTCAGTCTGCCTAGTCTTTGACGAACTTTCCTAGTTAGTCCCTTTAAGCAGGCTCTCTGCATAGTGGGTGTGGCTTGTTCCAGAATAAAGTAAACAAAGAAAGCCGTTACTATGAATAGAACTCTTTCTCATAATGAAAATAAACAGTCGCCTGGGTTCTGCTGTGAGTCAGTCATTGTATATTGAGTACACGTCCCCGGTCCTTCAGGGAGTGAACCTGACCGTGGGCTGGAGAGGTAGCTGCAGGCAGACCAGGGAAGCAAGCCGGGAAGACGGCAGCTAAGCATGTACAGAATATTGTATGCCAAGTGGGAAATGAGGGTCTCCGTGAGGGGACACAAGAAGAGGGTACAAGAACAAGCCCCTAGCACTTTGCAGTATCCTCCAGCCATGAGTGGCTATGGATATTTAAATGAATTCAGCACGTTAAAAACTCAGGACCTCCCCACCCTCACCTGGCTTGTATCGTCCCATCCTCCCCTCTAGATTTCGACAACAGCCCCCACACCTGTCTCCCTCCTCTGAGTCTCACCTCCTGTCCACGGAGAACATCACTCATGGATATTTTCCTCAACAAACAGAAACCTGGCTCTGTTACTGTCCTGCCTAAATGTGTCCACGAACGCTCCAACAGCTTCATCTTTTAAGAAGTCTAAGACCCCTCACATTGGGTTTAGGCCAGTGGTTCTCAACCTTCCTAATGCTGCGACCCCTTCATACAGTTCCTCATGGGGTGGTGACCCCCAACCCTAAAATTATTTCTGTTGCTACTTCATAACTGTAAGTTTGCTACTGTTATGAATCATCATGTAAATATCTGATATGCAGGATGTATTTTCATTGTTACAAGTTGAACATAATTAAAGCACAGTGATGAATCACAAA